AGGTTGGCTGGAAAAACCAACACCCCTCCTAAGCCCAGGATAAGGATCCAGGCTGCAGGACGTTTGGTCGAAATAACCAAACACTTTGCTTCGTCACGAGGTTCAGAACGAACACCAAAACCCCGGTGGAGATTGACCAGTTACTCTCCATCGACATGGGTGAAAAGGAGACACTAAGATCCTACAATAGTCGCTACTGGGAGATATTCAACCAGATTGGGGACTGCCCCACCAATCTCGCCATTGCACAATACAAAAAGGCCTTCCAATCGGAAACAGACTAAGGGACTCAATCACCATGACACTGCCCCTCACCATGGAGGCCTTGATGAGTGCATCAGCATATTAGGGTGAAAGAGGATAGCGCCCGTGCCAAAACAAAATCTGACACGACCGCAATATCAGAGAAAAAGGCCTCAGCAAAGGTCAACGCGGTAGACCGTCCAAGTAGAAACAGACGCGTCAGGCGAGACAACGGAGAGGACTAGGATAAAAGATAGTTGAGAGTCCGCACTGCCATAACCACGGTATTCAAGAAACCGATCTACCGGATTCTGAGCGAAATACGCGATGAGCCTTTCGTCAGATGGCCAGCTAAGCTAGGAGAAGCACAGAAAGACTACGACGAAAGATCGCGATGCACCTTTCACAAAGAAAAGGGGCACCGTACTGAAAATTGCATGCCAATGAGACAACACCTGGAGGAGTTGGTGGCAGCCGGTCACCTAGATAATTACATTGAAGGAAGGACGCAACCAGCCCCCCAAGACCACAATAACCCCAATGGAATGCCAATTGACGCCCCACCTCAAGGAGTAATTAATGTGATACATGGAGTATTTGAACCTGAGCGTGTATGCGAGCTCAGAGGGTCGATCAAGAAGGCTGAGCACTTAAGGGAGGTACTAAGTGCCCAACCTACCATCAAAAAGGGGAGAACAGAGGCCAAGAACGTCATGTCTTTTTCAGACAAAGACTTGGAAAGAATATATTTCCCTCACAACGATGCACTGGTCGTTACCCTCCACATCAAGGACTACGACGTCAAACGAATTCTGATAGACCAAGGTAGCTCGTGTGAGATAATGTACTACGACACCTTCAAACAATTGAAATTGAAGGACAAAGACTTGGCACCAACTGTGTCCCCCCTGATCGGATTCAACTCAATGCCAGAGTGGCCAGTTGGCAAGATCATCTTTCCAGTTAGGGCAGGAAGCGTGACAAAACAAGTGGAATTTTGGGTATTAAAGGTCCCCTCCACTTACAACATAATCTTGGGAAGAACATGGTTGCATGCCATGCGAGCGGTAGCTTCATCCTACCATCAAGTAATGCGATTCCCCAACGAAGCTGGGATAATTGAAGAGGTCTTTGGAGACCAAATTATGTCCAAGCAGTGCTTCGTCACGGTTAATGGCAGCCGCGCCGCCAAGGGATATGTTCATTCGGTGGAAGAACTTGAGAGCAATGGACTGTTCGCAGATGTCGGCAAAGCAGCTGATCAAAAAGCGGTGGAAGACTTGGTAGAGAAAAAAATAGATGAAAAGAACCCGGAAAAGTTCTTTTTGCTCGGTTCGTCG